ATTTCTCGTGGGCTGGTAGATGGAATTACATTTTGTGTTTTTTTGTTAAACACAATAATATATTGCAATTGTTCACATTTTATTGGTTGGCACCCAAAACATATTTAAATGCAACTCATCATACTACTTATACAAATACAATGCTATAGATTGTTTACACCAGTTCTTCTCAACCTGGAGGCCGTGGCTATATGACAGGGAGAACATAAAATATTTATTTCATTTAAAATATTTTCGATTATTTAATTATATTATAACCGACCATATGAATAATCATTTTCGATAAAGTCTAATGTTAGATTACTATTCTTAAATAATAGTCAAATTACATTAAATTTAGGGGGGCCTATAATAAAAAAGATTGAGAAGCACTGGTTTACACAGTTGAGGGGATCTTTGGTGGACAGTTTTTAAGGAGTTCGAATTAGGCAATTTTCAAATTGCATACATGTCGGTATTGTAAATGTGTGCATAGTAAATTACTGTGTGTAAAAGAAATACTATATAGAGCGTGAACGGTCAACAAACTATATTCATTTGTTTGTATTTATGTCTTTTTGTCCATCCTACGACCAAAGAAATAATGCAATAATATTTCAGAAAACTGATCTGAATTCGCTATGATTGGTTTGTATCCTAAGTCCTAACCTCGATATCGCAATCAGTTCACATTTTAAGATTTCTGATATAAATTCCAAAATCCAAATAATCAACGTTTCAAAATTCTGAAATTTAAAAATATTCAAACTAAATTTATAATTGTTGGGGGCGAAATTAGGAATAGTGGACTGGTCAGATCACAATAAGTAGATATAATAACGAAATTAAATCAGTTTTAATCAGTATTATCGTGTTGTACGATATTCGTATAACTAGGTCGATCAGTATAATATGATGGATAGAAGATTGGTATATTTTGGTTTAAATAACTGTCTATCACCGATCCTCTTAATATATTTTAATAGATAAACCATTCTTTATATCACAAAACCAACTACTGGCCATGGGGAAACGTTCCTGAAGTTTTGGTATATAGCCAACAGCACCATTGTTACCATCAGTAGTAACCAATACGTACCTATTCTGACTTATTACTAATACTATTTCAGACACAAAAATTAAAATTAAATTAAAAAAATTAAAAACAAACATCATTGCAAAACTTATACATTCATTGCTCCTCTGAGAATCTAAAATAACAATATATTATTTTATGATTCAACTGAAACCCAAAGGTAGAATTTATAAATTAAATGCAAAATACTTTTTTTTGTGCATAAATTATACTAATACTATCGACTGTAGTAGGTATCTACTATCTATACTTTATCAAAGTCAATAAAGGGATTAAGGGCCTATAATAAATATGTATATTATTATAACAGTATAAAAATTACAAATTATTACTCAATACCTAGTCCTGTGAATTTTTTGTATGAAAAATGGGTAGGTAAAAATGTTCACCAGCACCTGAGTAACTGACATAAAACTGTGTACGCCAATAATGCACTCACTGTACGTCAATACCTACTACTGTCTACTACAGTTACTATATTATGGATGTCTACCAAAATGTTCATCGCTGAAGCTCCTGAATATAATATAAACGTGCTGTGATAACGCAACTGGGAAAACAATATCTTTAAGGGAGCATATAATTTATTCACTAAAATCAAACCATAATCTAATTGTTGGTTTCTACGAAAATCTTAAAACTCATTTTATGGCTTAGRAACAAATCGTATGTATCCATGGATATCGTTAAATTACATCAAATTCATACGATTAGGTATATTAATATTTTATTAAAAAAGATATTATAATTTGTCTGAAAAAAAAACAATGAGATGATAATTTCGTATTATAATTATTACAGGAGTGTAAACGTATCTACCTTATTATTCAATAATTTGAAGAAAAAAATATTTTTATATTCTTAAAAACGTTCGTTGCATGCATTCATTATTTATATCAGACTATTTAAAGATTTCTACTGATGACATATATCAGTATTTAGTGGGGAGGCAAGCAATATGATACCTCACACAATTACGCCACTTTGAATGTGTTCTTTAATGTGTGTACTATATGTCTATATAAGCATCRAAAATTCGAAAGGGTTGACATGTATGTAAACAAACCGTCATGAACCTTGTTGTTTTTAATTTTAAAGTATTCCGGAAATCGACTATACGACTATGATATTATATTTGAAGAACAACGCGCGACGGTTGTTTATATCCTGTTAACGCGTACATATGCTGACAAAATGCAAAATGCAAATTGCAAATATCTATACATGTAAGTAATAACTATAATTACTAATATCCTCCCCTCCCCCTAATCGCGATTCRATGACTGTGATATAGCCGTTGGAATTTTGCGACGATTTTCCCACTGCCGCCGCCGGAACCACCACGCAAAGGAGCCGAACCAAGCTGCCGCTATTCCACGCCCACGTCACGCACTCCTATCGCCTACGCACCGGAACCAAACCCGCGACGGTCGCACCATCAGCGGTACGCGACAGCCATCAGCACCGTACGCGCACGCTCGGTCTACCGTAAAAACTAAAAAGCTGTTCCACCGTTGGCGCCCGTCGCACGTACGAGACCGCTCCTCCCTCTGCAACGCGTTTCGACCGCGAGTCACAACAGTTTTCCGCTCAACGCCGTCGCGACCGCATTCTCCCGGTGCAACAGAGTACAATACGCACGTGTGTCGCATTCGATTAACAACAACAATTCTCCAAAACATCATATCGCGAGTGACAACTTGACGCATAATACATAACATAACAATATACTGCTGGTGTCCGGGAGCAGTGAGTTTCCGAAAAAATAAAACACCCGCCGCTCTGAAGACCGCGTRTCAGCATCACTGCTGCTCTTCGCATATCGTACATGACACCGCATCAGACAAGGTACTTTTTTTACAACCATTAATGCACTGTCAGAGCCGATGCATTTTTATAGAATATTACGNTTTTTGACCGATATGGCGTCATGGCGGATAGCGTCATAGCGATAAACAAAAGTGAGGTCTGAAGTTGGTAACGATTTCCAACGGTTGTTTCAGTTGATTTTCAAATTGTAAACATTTAATATTTTGCATTTTCCAATTCATGGACCTCAAAATTCTTGACTCTTAAGCAGTTAGTCGAACATGCCATAATAATATGTTTTCATAAAAAAAGTAAAATAAATTATAATATTACGATCAGTATAATATTAAGGTTTGTAATTATTTAATTATTTAAAAATTGTGAACATTGTCCCATTTGTCCCTACTAATTCTAAAACTAAAATATTTTTTTTCTATTATTAATTGCTTTAAATGACAATTAATACAGCTCAAAAATTATGCAATAGTTAAGTTGATGTTTTGTTAAAATGCCAAGTGTAAATTATTCTGCCCAAATGTCAAACCGTTATTTATTATACTTAAAGAGTATATAATGAATCAACAGTTGTCATCAGAATATTATTAGTTATTACCACGGTTATCTACTCTATCTGTTGATAGCCGTGGTTATTACTGATTAATAATCAGTGATTATCATATACAATATACCATATACCTAACTAGATTACTTATTATAATTTATGATTTAATTTAATTAAATTATAATTTTTTTTCTATGATTTTAGTATTTTATTTTATTTTTTATCATTTGTATTCATTTTTAATAACTATGAGGGATGGGCATGAAATAATTATATTATAGGTAAGCATGACAACGAGCTTATTGTGAGGGCCGTAGAAGAATGGTCAACAGGAAATAATGTCGGGCATAAAATAATTCCTCACAGAATTTAATTTAAAATATTAGAAACAGCTAGTGGTTTAAACGAAAATAACTCATTGAAGAGGCGAGAGGTAGAGAAACGCTGGTAATTTATAAATTTAAATATATAGGCGCAACTAAGGTCGATTTTTGGGGGGCTAGAATTTTTTAAGTTACACAGACTTACTTTTTATTTTAAATTTGTACCTATTATGTGGAAGCTGGATAAATATTTGGGGGACTAGATAAATATTTGGAGGGGCTAAGCCTCCTAGCCCCCACCTTATATAATTATACACACTATTGTAAACATTATAGATTTTTAACTGGAAATGATTAGTAAAATTTAAACTTAAAATTTAAAAATCAAACTTTCATAAAAAATGAATGTGATTTTCCATTTAAATATTTATTCTTGGGCAAAGGTAGAAAAACTTGTATAGAATCTTATATTCAATTTTCGAATCTTAAATGTAAAAATTAACATTTTTATAAATTTTTAATCTAAAAAAGTTTTCAATGTCTAGTGATTTTAACACATTTTATTAATTCAATATCTTAGACAAAGCTTTCTTAATTTCTCGTGGGCTGGTAGATGGAATTACATTTTGTGTTTTTTTGTTAAACACAATAATATATTGCAATTGTTCACATTTTATTGGTTGGCACCCAAAACATATTTAAATGCAACTCATCATACTACTTATACAAATACAATGCTATAGATTGTTTACACCAGTTCTTCTCAACCTGGAGGCCGTGGCTATATGACAGGGAGAACATAAAATATTTATTTCATTTAAAATATTTTCGATTATTTAATTATATTATAACCGACCATATGAATAATCATTTTCGATAAAGTCTAATGTTAGATTACTATTCTTAAATAATAGTCAAATTACATTAAATTTAGGGGGGCCTATAATAAAAAAGATTGAGAAGCACTGGTTTACACAGTTGAGGGGATCTTTGGTGGACAGTTTTTAAGGAGTTCGAATTAGGCAATTTTCAAATTGCATACATGTCGGTATTGTAAATGTGTGCATAGTAAATTACTGTGTGTAAAAGAAATACTATATAGAGCGTGAACGGTCAACAAACTATATTCATTTGTTTGTATTTATGTCTTTTTGTCCATCCTACGACCAAAGAAATAATGCAATAATATTTCAGAAAACTGATCTGAATTCGCTATGATTGGTTTGTATCCTAAGTCCTAACCTCGATATCGCAATCAGTTCACATTTTAAGATTTCTGATATAAATTCCAAAATCCAAATAATCAACGTTTCAAAATTCTGAAATTTAAAAATATTCAAACTAAATTTATAATTGTTGGGGGCGAA